GAATACGGTTGAAAGGCTGTGGCCGCCACCTGGTCCTAGAGAAGGAAGGCCCGGCTGCCCAGAAGGACGGTGCCATGTCAGCCAAGGACTACAAGCATTCGCCCAGCTCCTCCTGAGTGCCTGGGACTGGGTTGGGCCGGGGTCGGCCGGGACTGGCCTTCACGCTGGCCACCTCCCTTGGGCTGGGTGTGTCCCCTCTCCTGTCCCGGGCAGGAGTGCCAGCCTTACCCCCCTTACAGAATTTCCTCCAGAATCTGGAGACAGAGGTGTCCGGGCAGAAAAAGGGCTAGCGGACACAGGCGGGGGGTTTCCATCTCTGTGGGGATGGGGGACGCCGGAGGCACCCAGGCCTCATGCTGCTTCCTTGTCTGAGCTTGTCCTCCCCACCTGCCATCTGCTCTGCAGCTTCTCCGCTGTCCTGCCTCACTCCCCCCTTCCCTGGGAGCTCCCTCCTGCCTTCTGCACGGCCCCCCTGTGCCCAGGTCACCTGGGCCCCTCTCCCCGGCTCAGCGCCTCCTGGGTGGCCCGCCTGCTGCAGCCTCCCGGCGCTCCAATGGCCCAGGTCCCTGTCTCCGGCCCTCTGCCTCTGTGCCCACGGTCCCCAGGTGGACCCCTCCCTGATCTTGCGTGGGCTTTGGTGGTGCCACCATCTCCGGTGCCTCCTGTGGCCACAAAGCCCTGAGTCCACCCTCTCCCCGTGTGCGCAACCCCCATACCCAGATGAGCAAGCTGTCTCCCCTGGGTCATCGCCCGCAGGCCTGCCCTTCCCAGACTCCCTCCCATGGACCCCCAAGGGCAGACATACGGTCACTGTCTTACTCCCCACACCCTCAGGACAGGGGCCAGGCCCCCAGGACTGTGTCAGGACCTCCCCAAAGCCCCAGGCCTCCGTGCTCGTCAGCCTGAGACCCCTCCCTGTAGCTGGCTCAGACTCACCCTGGGAAGCCCTGCTGACCCCTCCCTGTCCTCCCTGATACTGGGTGGCCTCGCCGTCCCCTCCAGCAAACACAGGTGACAGCCGATCTGTTTCTCCTCCTTAGAGGTAGGGCCTGCCCTGCGTGGGCCCCTAGTCAGGCCCACAGACACCTGTCTGGTGTGTCTGGCTCCCCCTGGCCCTCCTTGAGGCCTGCCCTTGCCCATCAGCCTCTGGAGGGAGGACGAAGAGGTGAGACCAGGAGGGGGTCCCACAGGAAGGCATGACCCCGGGACGGGCCACAGGCCAGGGTTGTAGGTGGGAACCTAGGAGCCCCAAGGAGCCTGTGTGGAGGGAGCATCCTTGGCTTCAAGGGGAGGAAGATGTGCCCAGACTTGGGCCTGGGGTCTTTAAGACTGTTGGACTCCCAGGCCCTTTGCTCTTATCTCACCCCCAGTTAGACTGATCCAGACAGCCTGGACCCTCCCCACTGTTGGCAGGAGGCAGGGGGAGGGAGGAGAGGCCAGGGGTCCCCTGAGGAGTGGGCAGCCCTGGGAGCTGTCTGTTTCCTGACGCTGTTGTTCGAAAGCGGCTGAGAAAAGCAACGTCACACTGTTCCTTTGCTCCTGAGCCTCAGAACTGCAGACATCTGTTCCCTCCCAGCTGTGGAGGCGTGAGGCCTGGGTGGAGGGCAGGTTCCTCCTGGAGGCGCTGAGGGCGGGGCTGCTCCAGGCTGCACCCCGAGCCCCCGAGCCACCCCACCGCCGCCCCCTCCTCCATCACATGGCGGCGTTCTCCCTGCATGCATGTCTGTGTCCAGATCCCCCTTTTATAAGGACGCAGTCATGGAGCAGGACCCACCCTCATGACCTCGACTTTACTTGCTCATTTGCAAAGACCCTGTCCCCAGCTAAGGCCACATTCACCTTCACAGGTACAGGGGTTGGGAGGCAGTTCAACCCCCAGCATAAGCCAGCAAACAGCAGCCCACTGTGGAGACACTCCGCAGCCCTGGCTGGGGAGCGCTGCCCTCCGGGACCCTGCATTTCAGGGTCACCGCCCCTGCTGGGCACCTCGGGGGCCCTCCTGGCCTCCCTGGCCTCTGCATCCCGCCCGCTCTTCTGCCCCACAGCAAATCTCACTGGCTGCCTGGAGGCGCCTTGGCCAGACGCCCTGCTCTCAAGGCACTCCTGTGCCACTTTCACCTCCGGGAGCCTTGGTTTCTCCATCCTGTCTCCCTGGCTGGGCCGGAGGGTGTCTGTCCAGCACCTGCCAACACTGTATCCTGGGACCCCCAGTAAGCCCAGGGCCTGCTCTCCAGTGCGGGTCTCGACAAGGCTGAGTTTCAAACCCAGAGCATCCCCGCATCTTCCCAGCCCACCTCACACCTCCGACTGCAAGCCAGCAAGGATGGAGGTCCCTCTGCTTCCAGCCGCCTCCCTGGCAGCCTGTCTGGGACTGGAGAACCGGGAGGTGCTGGACAGAGACCAAACACCATTCTCAGGCTGCAAAGCTGCTCGCATCCAGAGGCCTTGGCGGGGGATCCCACAGACTAGAAAGGTTCCCTGGTGTTCGTACCAGTCCCTGCTGTGGAGATCTTAGAAATCCAGTTGGTAGAATAAAAAGACCTTGTTGATAGAAAGACAGGAAACAGTTGTGAGAGGTGGTTTCTTTTGTATTCTCCTCAAGCGGGTGTTAAAACCTGGGGTGCTCTGGGCCTGATCGTCTCAAAACTCTGGGCTAGGAGCTCTGGGGTCCATGGACAAAATCCTGGACCTGGTGGGGGTCTCTTTCCTCGTCTGGGGGATCCTGCCTGCGTGGCCGGGGAGGGCCTTCAAGGAGGGCAACGACCTGTGTCTGCCATCGGCCTTTGGAAAGTGGCTGCTCCATCAGGCTAAGGGCAGGGTTCCTCCCCTCCAGGAGGCCCAGGCCTGGCCCTGATCCCTGGAAGCCTCCGTCCATTCACTCCTTCCCTGGGAGAGCCAGCCCTGCCAATGCCAAGATGCGGCCCTGCTGGCTGGGGGCCAGGGCCCTGTCGCCCCTGCCTGCCGACGAGCCTTGCGTGGACTCCCCTGTGCTGTGGGGATGGGAGCAGGCAGACACTGCCCACAAGGAGCTTAGCGTCTGCTCAGTGGCTGTGGGCGGGTGGGCACCAGGTCTTGCTGGGTCCCCGCCCAGGCCCAGAAGATGCAGACCCTGTGTCTCTGCTGTGCTGTCACCAACTGGATCCTGTGTGGGCCCCGTGCTCCTCCAGCAGCCTTGACCACAGCCAGTGGGTCCCCTTGCCGGGAAGCCCTGCAGCCCCTGCCCTCGCCTCCTCGGGGGACTCTGGCTTCACATCCTGACTTCTCTTTTCTCATCCCTCCCCTGGCGATGCCGTCGCCTCCTCAGTCAGACGGGAAGACAGAGAAGGCAGAGGACGTGTCCCCGGACAGGCCGAGGCTGTCTGCTCACGTGGTTCCCTCCCGCAGAAAGCCCTGGTCCACACCTGCTCTTCCTCCGACACCTCTCTGTGGCCCCTCAGCGCTCCCGTGCTCCTCTCTGCCCCCTGGCGGAGCCGTGGCCCCTCTCCGGGCAGCCTTCCCAGTGTGTGTGTCTTTTTTCTAGTCCTGCGTTTTCCCCAGTCCTGACATGTAGAAGCCACGTGTGGCCTTGGGCATCTGATTGGATTGCTCCATACCTCAGACTCCCCATAAAATGGGAGTTAGCTAAGAAACTACATTGAGGGGTTTAACCTAACGCCTGGTGCCTGGTTAACTAGCCAGCAGCTGTACCTCGTTGTCATTAACATCTTCGTTAAGCAGCATTCTCCTCACGTGTGCTGGGTGGCAGGCTCTGACCCTGGCACAGGGGCCCAGAGATGAAAACGCCTTTCGTCTGCTCAGGCTCCAGTCTGATGGCGGAGAGAGCCGTGTGGTCAGCTGAGCACAAAGCACCACGGGACTAGTGACTTAGGAATGCAGGCCAGAGTGGGGTGCCGCGTTCTGCCGAACAGACGAGGCCCAGGAAGCTCTGTGCTCCCCGAGTTGGCTGCGGCGCGCAGCGCATGCACTTGGTGGGACAGGGCAACTGGCAGGGTCTTCCAGTGATTCCAGTGCCTTTCCCCTTGTCCTGCAAGGGCCCCTTTGTGATGTGAATCCACCTGAAACCCTCACGGAGATGTTGGCGGTGGACTAGGGCCAGTCGTCTAGCTGTGACGGCTCTAAATGCCCCTCAGCCCGCGACTGGGTGAACGTGGCAGGGCCCAGCTGAGTGACCTTTGAGTGGAACGCAGCCAGTGAAAGAGAAAAATATAGGCCGATATGTATTGACTTGGAAGATATGTAAGGACTTACTAAGTGAAAACCAACCAACCAACCAAAAAAACAAAAAACCCCACAAAAACCCAGTGGCAGGGCAGAAGGATTAGGGACCATTCTGGAGGGATGCAGAGGGATGGTTAACAGCGTTCGGCTCAGAATTGCCTGGGACAGGAGCTATAGTTCTTCAGTGTGATGCTTATTTCAACTGGATGTGTCATTGCATCCGTAATTTAAGAAGATGATGGAAAGAATTTGGAAAAGTGCAGAGTCAGAGGAAGGGACGGACACCTGTTACCTGTCGCCTCCATCCCTCCTGTGGCCCTCACTCCTGGGTCCCTGGCCTCCTCAAACAGTGGGGCTTCATCCTGGGCATGGGGACCCCCACTGTCCTGTCCCTCTGCAGCCTGAGCCCCCACAGCTGGTGGGGCCTGCTGGCCGACTCCTCCCTGGGGCAGGGGCAGTGTGAGCTGGTACCCTTCTTCCCTCAGCCAGCATCCCCAGCTCGCCACCGGGCCAGGAGTGCTGCCCTGCACACAGTAGGTCTCCAGGAGCTGTTCCCCACCCCCAGCACCGCGCGGAGGAGCCCCCCCAGGCCTGTTCAAGCCCCCCACCGGTGTGGCCGGGGGCGCTGTGCTCGGCTGGGGTGGGCAGCGGGGAGACCTTGGGGCTGGTCCCGCCGCGCGCGGGCTGGGGCCGGGTTGGGCGCGGAAGGAGGCCGCCCGCCCGCCCGCGCCGCTGGGGGCCGCCCGCGGGCCGTGCCGGCCAGAGCGCGCCGTGCGCCCCGGGCCCCGCGCCGGCACACGCTCGGCGGCCGCGGCGGAGACACCAGCGGCGGCGGCGGCGGCGGCGGAGCCGGGCCCGGCGGCAGGAATGCGGAACCGGCGCGCGGACTGAGGCCGCCCAGGATGGCGCAGGGCCGCGGGCGGCGGGCAGCCTGCGTGGGGCCCTAGCGCGGCGGGGCGGACGCTCCGGGCCCGCGGCCGGCATCCCGGGCGGCGGGCATCGCGGCCATGGCCACGGAGCGGCGAAGGGCCGTCCTGGAGCTGCTGCAGCGGCCGGGGAACACGAGCTGCGCCGACTGCGGCGCCCCGGGTAGGTGCGGGCCGGGTGGGTGCGCCCAGGGTCGTGGCCGGTCCGCGTGGGTGCGGGGCCAGGCTGCGTGCGGGCCGGGTGGGTGCGCCCAGGGTCGTGGCCGGTCCGCGTGGGTGCGGGGCGGGGTGGGTGCGCCTCTGGGAGGCGCGGGCCCGGGTGGGCGCCGGCGAGAGTGGGTGCGGGGCCGGGATGGGTGCGGCCGGGTGGGTGCCGGCCTGGATGCCAGCCCCGGGGACTGGGAGGGGTGCTGCGGCGCCTGCGTGGCCGGGGGGAGGGGGCGCGGGCCCGGGGTGCACCTGCATGGAGCCGGACGTCGCCTCCCAGCGGCCCCGGGGCCTGTGGCTGTGTCGCCTCCCCTCCCCCCGGGCTGCGTGTCTCGCTGTCACCCACGGACCGCCGCCGCGTTGCGAAACCTCGGCTCCGCAGAGAAAGAGGAAATCGCGCGGGCGAGCGTCTGCAGGGAGAGAAAGGGCGAGCCGCCCGGGGGCTTCTGTGCGTGGGTGTGGGGTCCACCTGGCTCCCCACCACCTGGAGGTGACGTCATGCCCCCCCCCCCCCGCCTGGGGCCACCCTTTTGCACGCGCCCTGAGCAGGGGGCTGGGGGAAGAAGCCCGGTAGGAAAGGGCTCCCCTCTCCCCACCCTGGCAACCGGCTGCTCTGGGCAGATGGCCAGTTCAGGTGGGGCCCTCCGGCAGGTGCAGCCTGTAACAAGCTCCCAGTCCACCTGCACCCATCCTCCCAGCAGGCATCTCCTGGACTTTGCTCCTGGGTGGCCCTGCTCTGGGGTGATTTCCAAGGTGCCGGAGTCCTGAGGAGCTTCCCCTCCCTTCCTGGGGCGATTTGTCCTGGGATTGGCAGGAAAAGGACAGGCTGAGCTTCCAGGCCAGCAGAACCCTGCTTCTGAGCCATCAGCAGCACCCCCTAGTCCTTGCTGAGGGTGGGGGCGGGGCAGCCTCACCTGCTCACGTCACCCCAGGGTGGAGGGTGGCCCCACTCAAGGGCTGTTCCCCAGGCACTCCAGGAGGACACTGGACACCCCACTGGGGGCTCCTAGCCCAGACTCCTCAGAACACACCTAGCACAAGCCCCCCAAGGAGGGGGCCTGTGTTTGTCCTGAGACGGCAGTCTGAGACATGCAGCCTCTGGGCACTCCAGAAGGGACCCGGTCACCAGCTCTCCTCTGTTGCCCACCCACTGGGCTGGGGGGGGGGGGTCCTTTGGCAGCCCCAGGTCCTGGGAATCTGCTGGTCAGCTACGGTGTTGCCAAGAGAGGCTATACCAGGAGCTAGAGTGTCCCGCAGCCAGTGGGAGTCTTCTCTGGAAGCTGGGCAGACTGCGGTGGCCTTGCCCCTGGCCTCCTGAGCCGGGGAGCCGCGGTGCCCACCCTGAGGGTGGGGGGCAGCATCGGCACCACCGTTGTGCTCTGCTCCTGCCCGCTGGCTGGCGCCGCTCACACGCTCCCCACCTCCCTCTTCTAGACCTGCACTTTCCCTTGTTCAGGAGAGTGGGCTGCACCAGGGAGAGGCTCTCAGCCTCAGGCAGGGGGCCGGGGGAGGGGGAGCTGGCCCTGTCCCTCTCCTTCCTGGGTACACTGCTCAGGAGCAGCGTCTTTGGACCCACAGCCTCCCTCCAGCGATCTCACGGGGTAGGCAGGTGGGACAGGGGGCTTCCTGGCCTCTTGGGCCCTGCAGGGGCCCCTCCCCTCCCAGTGGGCACTGCCATGCCCTGCACCCCCCCCACTCAGCCAGAGGCCACTGCCCCGAGGCAGGCACGCTGGGCTCCGGAGCGGTCAGTTCTTACAAGCCCAGCTTTCCCAGGCATTGGGCCAAGCCTCTGGTTTTTCAGAGTTGGCACATGACATCAGCATCTTGCCTTATCTGCCTGGCAGCCCAGTGGAACAGGCAAGAGCTGGCGATCGCCCCCATTTCACAGCTGGGGAAACTGAGGCCTTGGAAACTTGAGCCGCCTTGGGGGATGTGGGCCTTCAAAGGCAGAGCAGGTCTCTTGATGCCATAGTCCTGCCGCCCTTGCTGGCCTTCCCCACTGCTCCAGGGGCGCGGGGGCGAGGCCTGCTGCCCTGCTTCCTCCCTCATGACCCCGGTGGAATGCCCGCCCACAGTCTCTGCTGCTTGGATGGAGTCATCTGGTCTGTCCAGGTTCTGTGCCACCGTGCCTGCCGCCGCCCAGACGGGCGGCTGGGGGCCTCTCTGTGGTGACACGGACTGGCTCATGGCTGCCCTGCCTGACCACAGCCAGCCAGCAGCAGGGCATGGCCGGGGCCAGGGGGCAGGCCTGGGCCACCTCTAACCACCATGGCCCTCGCGGGCCAACTGGCCAGGTGAGGGCTCCTGGGAGGGAGGTGGGGTGAGGGAGTCCTTGCAGCCCCACAGGACTTGCTCCAGGAGTAGGCTCCCCCCTCCTTTGCGCGTGGGACCCAGCTAACAGCCTCCCAGAGAAGTGACAGGCTGAGGGAGTGGGTGCGTTTGCATCCCTTTCCCCTGCAAGGCCTGGGTGGGGGTCTCCATCTTGGGGTCAAGGGAGGGGGGGTGGGCCTCTGCACGTCCTCCAAGCTGCCTACCTAGTTGGGACAAATGATAGATTCTCTCCTTTGAGCCTCAGGTCCGATGCCCCGGAAGGACTTGGGGGCTCTCACGTCTTCAACTGGGTTTGGCTGTGGGTGATAATCGTGTGGTCCTTTGATGCGTGTCACCTGGGCATCTGAGTCACCTGGAAACTCCAGGTAAAGCCAATTCTGAGAGCACCTGGGCCTTCTGACGCGCACAGTCGGCGCCGTGAGGGGGTCCTCGTTTCTGACAAGACAGGTGGTTTGGGATGGCTGCATGCAGGCTTCTGTAGGCACGTTTCCGGAGCCAGGACCCAGACGGTCTGGCTCTGAGAGGCCAGGGGGCCAGTCCTTGCGGCTCAGCCACGACCGGAGGTGGTGCCTGCTCAACCAGGCAGGTGACATTGGAGCAGAAGCTGCTCGCTCAGCCCGGGAAGGCTTCGTGGCGGACATGACTCTCCCGAACTTGCTGAACTTGCTGTAAGCCAGGGCAGAGCAGCTTGGTGGGGGGAATTCCAGGAATTTGGCCTCGTTGGGGAGAGGGTCCCCTGGGAGGGCGCGTGGCTGGCAGGGGCTGCTGAGGAGTGGGCTGGGCGGGCAGCACCCATCTCTGGGGCAGTAACTCACCTGGTTCTTGGGTTAAAAAAATGATTATTTTTATTGTGGTAAAATATGCATAAAAGTCACCATTTTAACCATTATTTGAGAGAGAGCATGCCTGTGGACTTGCACAAGCAGGGGGAGGGGCAGATGGAGAGAGGAAGCCGAGACTCCCCGCTGAGCAGGCAGCCTGAGGCAGGGATCGATCCCACCAGGAGCTCCTGACCTGAGCTGAAACCAGGAGTCCGAGCTCAACCGACTGAGCCGCCCCCCTCGTAACAGTCTTAGATGTGCGGGAGCATTAAGTACACCATCCCCGTCCGTCTCCAGAGCTCTTAGCATCCTGTAAACGGGAAACACGGCCCCCCCGCCCCCACCCCCGGCTCTGCTGTGTTTGTGGGTCTGACGGCTCCCGGACCTCGAGTGAGTGGGTCCTGCAGCGTTCGCCTTGTTTCTGGCTCATTGCCACGCTCGCGTGTCCGGGCTTCTGTGATATGGACGCCCCACACTGGGCCTACCTTCCAGCAGCGGACACCTGCGTGGCTTCCCCCTCTTGGCCGCTGTGAACGCGGGGGTGCAAGTCTGAGTCTTTGGGGCAGAGCCGGAAGAGTAGGATGGCTGGGTCACAAGGTGATTCTCGGTCTGGAGGGTTGGGGGCTCCAGGCTGTGTCCGTCAGCTGGCTCTGTGCTTGGCCACAGGCCAGCAGGCCCCTGGTGCCCGTGCGTGTGGGGGGGGCTGGGGAGCAGCTGCCCCCCTCCACCCCAGCAGGGGAGGCTCAGCCACCCCGCTCTGCCATGCCGGGGACACTCACTAGGCTGAGATTGCCCCAGAGGGGACTCGGAGCTGCTGGGCGGGCCAGGGTGGTGAGCTGGGCCTGGTTGTTCTGAGGCAGCGCCGTGAAGGCAGGGGGTGACATCACCCCCCCCTCGGGCCCTGCCCTCCTCGTTTGCTGTTGACTCAGCCCTGCTCGGGCCAGGGGCCTGCTAGCGCTGTTCCCCACACCTGTGAGCTGGCTGCTCGGCCCCATTTCCCCCACGGATGAGCCACAAGGGGCTGCACCAGGCTGGCAGGCGTGGGTTTGTCACCTGCCCTCCTGGTGGCTGTTCCCTGTGGCCCCGTCAGGCCCAGAGCAGTGGCTGAGACAGGCTCTTTCCCCCCTTCTCTTTATTGTGTTAAAATACACATAACCTAGAACGGACAGTCTTAACCATGTGGGTGTGTCTGGTTCAGGGCCTTCAACGCCTTCACATCTGTGTAGCCAGCTGTCTCCAGAACTTTCCACCTTCACCGACTAAAACTCTGTCCCCACAAAACACGCCCCCTCCCAGGCCCCCCGCTGCCCTCTGTGAGCCTGACGACTCCAGGTCCCTCAGAGAAGTGGGGTCCCATGGTGTTTGTCTCGTGTCTGCAGGTCCAGCCCCATGATAGCATGTGGCAAAATTCCTTCCTTTTTAAAATTGGGGTGCAGGGACGCCTGGGTGGCTCAGTCGTTAAGCATCTGCCTTCGGCTCAGGTCATGATCCCAGGGGATCCCAGGTCCTGGGATCGAGCCCCACATCGGGCTCCCTGCTCAGCAGGGAGCCTGCTTCTGATGCTCCCCCTGCTTGTGCGCTCTTCTCTGACAAATAAATAAAATCTAAAAAAAAAAATAAAACGAAATTGGGGTGCAGTTCCCATGGAGCATGGTATTAATGTCAGGTGCACAAACCCAGTGATCGGGGTTTGTGTACATTGTGAAATGATCGCAGTAAGTCTGGTGAACAGTCTGTCAGCACAGAGCGTTACAACTTCTAAGATCTACTCTCTTAGCAACTTCCAAATATACAACGCGGTGTTATTAACTCCGGTCACCACGCCGTGCGTTACTTCCCAGGACCTGCTTATCTTCTACCTGGAAGTTGGTGCCCCTCGGCCCCCTTCACGCATCTCGCCCACCCCACTGGCAACCACCAGGCTGTTCTCTGTGTCGATGAGTTCAGGGGTTTTTTCCTCGGACCCACATATGGTATTTATCTTTTTCTTTCTGACTCCTTTCACTTAGCATAATGCCCTCAGGATCCATCCATATTGTTGCAAAGGACAAGGTTCTCCTCTTTTTTGTGGCGGAATACTATTCCAGTGTATATGTACACACGGCATCTTCGGTGTCCACTCGTCCGTCTGTGGACACTTAGCCACTCCGTGTCTTGGCCATGGTGAAAGACGCCACAGTGAGCACGGGGGTGCAGACGACTTTCCTAGTTAGTGTCTGTCTTTCCCTCCACAAAAGTGGAATTGCTGGATCTTACCGTAGTTCTATTTTTAATTTTTTGAGGAACCTCCATGCTGTTCTCCACGGTGACTGCCCCAATTTGATTTCCCACCAGCAGCGCACGAAGGTTCCCCTTTCTCCACATCCTCGCCAACGCTTGTTCCTTCTTGTCCTTTGGACAGTGACTGTCCATTCTGACAGGTGGGGGGCGGGGATTGCACCGCGGTCCTGATGCGCATCTCCCTGACGATCGTGATGAGCACCTTTTCGTGGACCTGCTGGCCACCTGTGTGTCCCCTTTGGAAGAATATCTGTTCAGAGCCTCTCCTCAATTTTTAATTGCATTGTTGGGTGTTTTTGATGTTTTGTTTTGCTACCGAGTTGTGTGAGTTCTTTATATTTTTTTAGATATTCTTATTAGATATGATTTGCAAATATTTTCTGCCATTCCACAGGTTGCCTTTTCTTTTGGTTGATGATTTGCTGTCCTGTGCAGAAGCTTTCTAGTTGGATGCGGTCCCATTGGTTTATTTTTGCTTTTGTTGCCTAATCAAAGAATCCTCACCATGACCGATGTCAAGAAGCTTACTGTTTTCTTCTAGGAGATTTATGGTTTCAGGTCTTACACTCAAGTTTTTAATCCATTTTGAGTTGATTTTTGTGTATGGTATGAGGCTGTCCAGTTTTCCCAGCCCCATTTATTGAATTGACTGTCCTGTCCCCGTCGTATATTCTTGGCTCCTTTGTCGTAGATTAATCGGCCATGTATGGGTGGGTTCATTTCTGGGCTCTCTATTCTGTTCCACTGATCTATGTGTCTGTTTTTATGCCAGCACCATAGTATTTTGATTACTGTAGTTTTGTAAAATAGTTTGAAATTGGGAAGCATGAAGCCACCAACTTTGTTCCCCTTTCTCAAAACTGTTTGGTTATTTGGGGTCTTTTGTGATTTTATACAAATTTTAGGGTTGTTTGCTCTATTTCTGTGAAAAACGCCATTGGACTTTTGATGGGGATTGCATTGGACTGTAGATTGTTTTGGGTAGTATGGCTATTTGAACAGTATTAATTCTTCCAACCATGAGCACGGACTGTTTTTCCATTTACTTGTGTCTTCAATTTCTTTAAGGTTTTATAGCATTCAGCATACAGGCTCTTCACCTCCTGGATTAACTTTATTCCCAGGTGTTTTATTATTTTTGATGCACCTGTCAATGGGATTGTTTTCTTAATTGCTCTTTCTCATGGTTTGCTATTAGTGTGGAGAAACAGAACTGACTTCTGTACGTTGACTCTGTGTCGTGTAGCTTCACCGAATTCATTGATCAGTTCTAGTGTGTGTGTGTGTGTGTGTGTGTGTGGAGGATCCTTAGGGTTTTCTACACATAATGTGTAGAAATAGTGAAATAATCTGCCAATAGAGACAGTTCTACTATCTCCCTTTTGGTTGTGATGCCTTTTACCAATTTTCCTCCCTTGTTGCTCTGGCCAGGACTTCCAGTACCAGATGGGATAAAGGCGGAGAGAGAGGGCATCCTTGTCTTGTTCCTGACCTTACAGGTAAATCTCTCAGCTTCTCACTGTTGAGTGTGATGTGAGCTGGGGGCTTGACCTGCGTGGCCTTTGTTGTGTTCAGGTACGTTCCTTCTGTACCCGCTTTGTTCAGAGTGTTTCTCATAAATGGATGTTGAATTTTGTCAAATGCTTTTACTGCATCTTTTGAAATCATATGATTTTTATCTTTCATTTTTGTTAGTGGAGCATATCACATTAATTGATTTGTGGATGCCAAATTGATTTTTTTCTTCCTAAGGACGTAGATGTTTATTGAACACGCTGCAAGGGATCAGTGGGCAGGACAGCAAAGGAGAGACTGCTTGGATGGATTTCTTGATGCAAACTTGCATCCCTGGAGTAAATCCCACTCTGTCATGGTGTATGATCCTTTTAATGTGTTGTTGAATTCAGTTCGCAAATCTTTCATTGAGGACTTTTGCATCTGTGTTCACCAGGGGTGTTGGCCCGTAACTGTGATGTCCTTGTCTGATTTTCGCATCAGGGTAGTGCTCTCCTCATAAAAGGAGTTTGGAAGTGTTCCCTCATCTTCTATTTTTTGTTATTAATTGGTATTGCTTCTTTAAATGCTGGTAGACTTCACCAGTGAAGCCATCTGGTTCTGGACGTTTGTTGAAAGGTTTTTGATTACGGATTCAATCTCCTTGCTACTAATCCATGTGTTCAGATCTTCTACTTTTTCATGATTCAGTCTTGTATGTTCCTAGGGATTTATTCGTTTCTTGTTCAATTTGTGGGGATGTAATTATTCATGATAGTCTCGTACGATCCTCAGTGTTTCCATGGTCTCAGTCGTAGGTCTCCTCTTTCCTTTATGATTTTATTGATTTGAGTCCTCTCTCTTTTTTTCTTGGTGAGTCTAGCTGAAGTTTGTCAGGGTTGTTTGTCTTTTCCAAAAAGCAGCTCTTTGTTTCATTGATCTTTCTATTATCTTTTTGTCTCTCTCTCTCTCTCCTTTTTCTTTTTAGAGCACACTCGAGTGGGGTAAGGGCAGAGGGGGAAAGAGTCTCAAGCAGACTCCACGCTGTGCATGAGCCCAGTGTGGGGCTCCATCTCACGATCTTGACATCACGACCCTGAGATCACGACCTGAGCCCAGGCCAAGAGCCGGGCACTTAATCAGCTGTGCTCCCGGGCGCCCTGGGCTTCATCCGTTCTCCCTCCAGTTCCTTGTGGTGCCAAGTTAGGCTGTTTATCACGGACCTTTCTCGTTTCTCCGGGCCGGCGCCTGCCGCTGTGGACTTCCCTCTCATCACAGTTGTTGCTGGGCTCTCTGAGTTTCCGTGTGTTGTTTTCCATTTTCATTTGTTTCCATTATTTTTTGATTTCTCCCTTGACCCACTGGTCGTTCAGTAGCATGTTGTTGAATCTCCACACACGTGTGAATTTTCGAGGTTTCTTGTAATGGATTTCTAGTTTCACACCATGGTGGTCGGAAGATGAGTCATGTTATTTTGATCTTCTTAAATTTATTAAGACTTGTTTTGAGGCCCAACATGTGGGCCTGTGGTCTTAGGTTTAGGTACTTGATCCATGTTGAGTTAATTTTTGTATATGCTGTTGGGTGAGGGTCCAGTGTCATTCTTTTGCATGTGGGCATCTTCCCAGTGCCCCTTGTTGAAAACTCTATCTTTTCCCCATTGAGTGGTCTTAGCACTCTTGTCAAATATCATCTGAGCATCTATGCGAAGCTTTATCTCCTGGTTTATTCTGTTCCACTGGTCGATATGTCTGTCGTTTATGCCAGTACCACACTGTTTTGATGACTACAACTTTGTATTAGATTTTGAGTCATGAGGTGTGATTCCTCCAGGTTAGTGGTTCTTTTTCCAGATTGTTTTAGCTATTCAGGGTCCCCTGAGATTCCGTGTGGATTTTAGGATGGGCTTTTCATTTCTGCCAACTATGTCATTGGGGTTTTGGTGGGGATTGCATTGAGTCTTTGATTTACTTTGGGTAATAGTGACATTCTGGCAGTATCAGGTCTTCTAACCCATAACATGGAATATGTTCCCATGTATTTATGTCTTCACTTTCTTCCTACAACATTTTATAGTTTTCATCATACAAGTTTTTTTTTTTTTATTGTTTTTGATGCTATTGTAAGTTGATTTGTTCTTGCAGTTTACTTTCAGATTGCTCAATCTGTATAAAAATGCAACTGACGACAGCCCCTGGCTGGCTCAGTAGAGCCTTCAACTCTGGATCTCAGGGTGCTGAGTTTGAGCCCCCTGTTGGGTGTAGAGATTACTTAAGAAATAAGTAAATAAAAATAAAAACGCAACGGATTGTCATGTGCTGACTTTGTATCCCATCACTTTGCTGAATTCACTTACTCTGACAGCTCTTTTGTGGAGTCTGTAGGGTTTTCCACATATAAGACCATGTCGTACGCAAACAGATCATCTTGCTCCCTCCTCTCCGCTGTAGATGCCTCTTCCCTCGTCCTCGTGCCTGGTTGCCACGGCCGGAGCTGCCAGTACCGTGCGGACTGGAGGTGGTGCGGGCAGGCACCCTCCCCTTGCTCCTCCTCCTCGTCGAGGAGGAGTTGGCAGTCTTCCACCACCGAGGATTACGGTTGCCGTGGGGTTTTCAGAGACGGCGGGTACCGTGGGGGGGCAGTCCCTCCTGTTCCTGGCTTGTTGAGTGCTTTTACGAGAGCGTCGCGTTTGGTCAAGTGCTGTTCCTGCAGCAGTTGAGATGGACGATCGTGTGGGCTTCCCCTCGTTCTGCTGACGACTGGCGGGTTCTCACGGGGAGCCCTCTGTGCTTTCCACGAATAAAGCGCTTATTGTGGTGCGTCGTCCCTATTGTGCTGCCGAGTCCTGTTTTCCAGTGGTCTGTGTTCACAAGGGATACTGGTCTGTGATCTTCTCGTAGTATCTCTGGGGTTCTGCTGGCCGCGTCGGATGAGTTAGGAAGCACTCCCTCCCCCTCAATTCTTTTGGAAAAGTTTGGGAAGGATTGGTGTTGGTTATTAAGTGTTGAGTAGAATTCACCAGGAAAGCCATCAGGGCCAGGGCTGTTCTTCGTTGGGAATTTTTGATGATGGATCCGGTCTCCTTACTCGTTTATAGGACCATTCAGATGGTCCACTTCTTCCTGACTTAGAATTGGTGGGTTTTCTGTTTCCAGGAATTTGTCCACTTCATCGAGGTGACCCTGTTGTTGGTGTACGGTTGTTCACAGCACGCTCTCATAGACCTTTTTATTTCTGGGAGCAGCGTCCCCAGCTTTGTGTCTGATTTGAGTGACTTGAGTCAGTTTCTTAGGCCATCCAGCTCAAGGCATGCCGATGCATTGATCTTCTCAAAGAAGCAACTTTTGCTTTCATTTATTTTCTCTATTGGTTTTCTTTTCTCCATTTCATTGATCTCTACTCCAGTCCTTACGATTTCCTCCCTTCTGCCAGCTTTGGGTTTAGTTTCTTCTTTGCCTAGTTCCTTCGGTTGTAAGTTCGGTCGTTGGCTTGACATCCTTCTTGTTTTGTAATGTCACCATTTATAGCTACAGATTTCCCCGTTAGCACCACCGTTGCTACATCCTGTGTTCTGGTGTCGTGTTTTGTTTTCCTTCATCTAATTTCATTTCATTTCTAATTTCCCTTGTGATCTCTTCCTTGATCCACTGGTCGTTTAAAAGCGTGTTACATTTCCGCCACATTGTGAATGTCCCAGTTTTCTTTGTGTTGACTTCTAACTCCACCCTGTTGTGGCCAGAGAAGGTACTCTGTAAGACACCTACCTTTTAAAATCGATCTAGACTTACCTGCGGCCTCACGTGTGGTCGATCCCGTACAACGGTACGACGCCCCGCGGGCCCTAGGGAGGAATGCGTGTGCCGTCCTGGCTCCTCGGTTTCCTTACTCCTGCCGGATGTCTCTGTCCATCAGTGTGAGTGCAGCATCGCGGTGTCCAGCTGTCATTCGAGGCTGGCGATGTCCCCCTCCAGCTCTGTCGGGTTCGGCTTCCTGTGCTTGGATAGTCTGTCATTAGGTGCGTAAATGTAATTGTTAGACCTTCTTGCTGTATCGAGGCTTCTACTCACATAGACTGTCCTCCTTCGTCCCTGTGGGCTTTTCCTGACTTAGTCTGTCTGATGTTCGTGAAACCACTCCAGCTCTCTCCTGCTGGCTGTCCACGCACGGTATCCTCTCCCATCCTTTGACTTCCGACCCGCTGTGTCTTTAGATCTGGGCCACATCTCTCGTGGACAGCCCGTGGTGTACCACGTGTTTCTGTCCGTCCTGCCGTTCTCTGCCTGTTGACTGGAGAGGTTCATCCCTTTACCTGTAATGTGAACGCTGGTAAGGAGGGACTTCCTCCTCCCTTGTGCCCTTTATGTTGTGTGTGGCCTACAGCTTTTTTTGTCCCTCGTTTCCTGCATTCCTGTCGTCTTCTGTGTTTAGTTTATGTGAAATGTTTAAATTCCCTCCTAATTTCCTTTTGTGTATATTCTATAGCTCTTTTCTTCCTTGTTGCCACGGAGATTACATTTAACATCCTAAATTTATAACCTCCTAAATCGAATCTGTAGTAGTCTAACTTCAGTAACGTGCAGAAACGCTGTTCCTTCACAGCTGTCTGTACGACACCCTTTTGGTTGTCGAAGTCACAGTATTTCATCTTTACACATTGTGTGCCCCAAGACATAAATATTCATTCATTCATTCATTCATTCATTCATTCATTCATTCATTCATTCATTTTTTTAAAGTAATCTCTCCACCCAACTGAAATCAAAAGTGGCATCCTTCTCCGACTGAGCCAGCCAGGTGCCCCATAAATAATAATTATTTTAAATGCATTAGTCTCTTATGTAGAAAACAAGATCTGGAGTTAAATACCAAAGTTATAGTAGTACTAGGTTTTACATTAATAATTTTTTTTTTATCAAATGAGTTAGTCTCTTAAATCATGTAGGAAACCAGGTTTAATACCATCGAATGCCAACTAACCATTGTTATAAAACACTAGCTTCTACAG